GTCAGTCAGCAGATAATCCAGAACATCAGGTGACTTTATAACACAAAGTTTGTGTCACATAGACCGTGAGAAATTATTATCAGAAAGTATTATTCCAGGTACTGTCAGAAAGTGGTATTCCAGAGTTCATATTCCCAAGGGTGAGATTTGTATTAACAGATACAAATTTATTTATATTTATTTATTTATTTATTCCCATTAACTAATGAAAGATGGTATCTAACAGGGTTATTATAGCAACAGTAAAACACAAATTCTTTCAAGCATTTGTTATGCTTGGTACTGACATGGACAAGCCAGACTTGCTGCCTCTCACTTAAGACTTTAAAAACTTAAATACTTACAAGTAAGCGTCCTATATTCTTAAACATAAATTGAGATTTTGCTACAAATGTCAAAGATCATGAGTCAGATGACAATGTTTGATTTTTATGTAGTTCTACCCACATCAGCCTATTGTCAAAAATGGTTCACTGTTTATTTTTACTACTTGAGGTTGTTAAATTTTTTTGTAAATGAGGATTCAAACATGGTGAGTTGCTGCTGTGGAAAAAAAACCTGAAAGAAGCAAGAAGTCATGCAGGTTGACACAGATAAATCTATTCTGGTCACCTTAGTATTTTTTAAAAATTTGTACTATTATTTTGTCAATAATTAGAATTTTCTAAAGTTTGTTCATGTGTGATTGTTTCTTAAATTTAAAACATTCCAGTTTGAACTTCTAGCAAAATTAGAACACTGTAATCCCATTCTTTTGGTAAACTGATTTTTAAAATTTTCTGCAATATTTACAGATTTGGAAGTGAAGTTCAATATCATAAAACATTTCCACTTTCATTTTCATATTTTAATCCTGATTTCTTTTTATTTTGCTTTCTAATTGGTTCATGGTATGTACTTGGCTTTCTTAATATGTTATAATTTCATCTAGTAACTTTCAAAATCTGTATTCAATAATATTATTTAGTAGGGAACTTGATTTATCAGTCGGGGCAAATATTTTCTTTATCTATTTTGTTAAGCCTTAAATTATTAAAGTTTTAAAATGTTAAAGGCATTTATTAAATCCTGAATAATAGTGTTTGCAGTTTTAAGATTGGAACCAAACCTCATCCAACTTTTCTTATTAAACATGAATTAGCCTCAATGTCACAACTGCTGAGTATCTTCATGCATTTTCTACTTACAGGCATATATATGTTGTTGAAACTAGCTAGTAGATATAGTGCTGAAATGTACTTCTTTCTTTAGTCAATTAATGTATTAGTTGTTTGGAGAAAATGCTAAATTTTATCTGCTTTCACTCCGTATTTTTGTAGGATTGGTGTCAATAAAATCATACAAACCCAGCTGCTCATTAAAGTAGTAGTTTTCAAACTCTTTGGACAAACAACTGCCAAACCATAATGGTTCTTTCAGGATCAACTCTTAGCTCAGCAGATTTCTACTTTTGTTTGTTTGTTTGTTTTTTATAGATAGTTTAATATGGTTCCACACACCAAGTGTGAACCACAGTTTGGGAGTATCTGCTCTGTTGGATCAACTTGAGGATTTAGAATTTTTACATAACTGACTTATGTCATAGTTTAGAAAAATGATTGCTCTCTATTCTTATCTGAAACAATTGATACACTGTAGTGCTTTCCAGCATTGCAGCTTTGGACTCTGTCTAAAAATTAATATAAGATTTTCTTCTGTACAGGTGCTATTATCAAGTGGATTCCTATGCTAAGATCTTACCTTCCACATAGAAAAAGGAGCAGAGCTTCCTTAATTTTAGGGTTTTGTTCTTTTTAAGGTGCTTCTGGTCTAGCCTCATCCCGAGTCACTATACTTCTGAGTGTTTGAGGTTGAGCTTTTAAACCTGAGAGGGTTTTTCTTAAATGGAAATCCATAGAACAGTTACGTGAGTGTAATGTTTTGTGAGCCAGGACTGATGGCCCAGAAGAGTTTGAGTTGTTTATTCTCACAAGGGAACAGGAAAGTTGCTTCACAAGCAAATACAGAGGCTCTTTCTGTAATGCATCTGAGAACAGTGCAGTATCAGTACCTGGCTGATAATATCAGCCTTAACACTTTCATCCTTTCCTACCCTGTATTGCACTGATGGCTTTTGAAATGCTTGTGATATTTTACCTGCTTTAGAAATACATTATAGCATAAACATTCAGATCTTAAACTGTAATTTACTATTTCTCTATGCTAAATAAATTGTGGGAATATGCTTCATCGTATACCTTGACCTAATTCCTAAAGAACTGAGGTACAATAACTTGAAATCTCAATTTGGCAGAAAAGACATTACAGCCATCTTTCAAATGCATTTATTAATAATTTTTTAAAAGTTATAAAATTAGTTAAAGCACTTAAATTTAGGCTTTACAGGAACAGTGTGAACATAATTATTAAAAATTAAGATGTACCCACTTTATCTGAAATTTTGCACTTGACATTTTAAATATTTCTTCTGTCATTTGACATATTTTAAATATTTATTCTTTTGAAGACTAACGCAAACCAGGATATCACTGAACTGGAGAATAAAGTGGCAGCTTTGAAGTGCCAGTTTGAAAAGACTTTGAATGACTCTACTGCAAACCAAAAATTCCTGGAAGAGAACTTGGTGACAACAAAACATGACTTGCTTAAGGTTCAGGATCAACTATCCACAGCTGAAAAGGTTAGCATTTTATTGTAATGTAAAGGTAAGATCCTCACCCACATTTTAACTGATTAGTAATTTTACAAGCATACACTAGAGGATGCAGAGTTTACTGGGTTACGCTTGTGCCAGTGTATTTTTGTTATTTCAGAGGGAAAACACGTTATATGTAAAACAGCAAAAATACAACTAACTGTGTGATTATAACTAACTGAATACTTAAAAATTACCCATTTGTCTGCATAGAAATTTTTGAATGAAAAGCTTGTTCCCAGTCTTCAGAAGAATTTTAGCTGGATTTCACTAGAAAATGAAGCTTGTGTTTCTCTGTGTGTCCCAATAATATAATTTGAATCTACTAGCTGACTTCATCTGAATTTGAATAAGTTAGAGAAACTTCTATTCTGAAGCTTGAGGAAGAAAACCAAGTCGTCTTTTTTAAAAGGTAGATTAATGTGGTTTTCACAATTTGTAAATAATATGTTGGTGGTGTTATTATGTAGGAATTAGAGAAAAAATTTCAGCAAACAGCTGCTTATCGCAACATGAAAGAGATTCTCACTAAGAAGAACGAACAGATAAAGGATCTACGTAAAAAGCTTTCCAAGTAAGTGGTGCTGTCCTGTCTGTCCAAACAGGATCCTTGTTCTGGATCCATGTCCTGCTGCTTTTTTGTTTTTTATAAATGTGAAACTGTCTCTAAAAGGGACTATAAATTTTCCCTTAAAAAGAATTTCTAGCAGGCTGTTCTCTGATTTTTGACAAGCCAATTCCTTTAATGGCTGCCAGGTGAATAGGACTGATGGGTGCAGCAGCAGCTGCTGTGTAGCAAGTAATGAGAGAATTTAGTATGGAGAGGATACAAAACATTCATGGGTGTGGTATAAATAACCCCAGGTGCTACACACAGTGATACAGGTGGGAGATGTACCAGATGCTTTGGCTTGATGTTATTTCTTCCTTGCTTATTGATGGGTGTGAGAAGTCCATGGTATGTAAAGAGGTTTAGGCCTGTGTTGAGTAAAGAAAGATGCACCCTGGCCATTATATTATGTAGAAGACTATCGTTTGGGGAGGAGTGACTGGAAAGCTGCCTGGTGGAAAAGGACCTGGGGATGTTGGTTGACAGCCGGATGAACATGAGCCAGCAGTGTGCCCAGGTGGCCAAGAAGGCCAACAGCATCCTGGCTTGTGTCAGAAATAGTGTGGCCAGCAGGAGGAGGGAAGTGATTGTGCCCCTGAACTTGGCACTGGTGAGGCCAAACCTTGAGTACTGTGTTCAGTTTTGGGCCCCTCACTACAGGAAGGACATGGAGATGCTGGAGCATGTCCAGAGAAGGGCAATGGAGCTGGTG